TTTCTTCCTGCAATACTAGCATGACAACTGCATTATTATGTGGGGAGACCTTATGGAATTCACCTCGTTAATCTCACGCGAAATTCGATGACGAAGTTCTCTTGAATTTCGTCAAATTATGGCAAGTTCCACGAATATTCCGCAACCTTCCTTCAATTAAGCTGAAAATATAATTTTTTAGCCCAGTGATTCGGAATTATAAAGCAAAGCGATTTTTTGCTTTTGATGGTGCATAAAACGGAGAGTAAACGAATGGTTTTTTTTTTTAATGTTCAGTTGTTATCTCGCCAGTATTTTAAATGTCTGCCGAAATCAATGCGGTCTACAATCGCGTGAAAACCGTCCTATGGGAACCATTCTTTTTCCTAATGAATTCGGGAAGAAATGGGGGTTTCCCTGGCTGTCTTCGAAAAGGGTTTCGCTGAAGGAACTTCTTTTCACGTGATATGTATGAGAAATGAACCCGCATCGCGAGTTCAAACGATCCCACCGTTCAGCTACGGGCGTGTGGGTGCACCCAAAAAAAAAAAAAAAGCTAAAAGAAAAAGTTTGCGATCAATGTGCTTTTATATAGCATAAAAATATTGCTGCAATGCCAGTCCGTATACAGACACCGTCTTTTAGCAAGACATAAGAAACTGTTTGACGTGGAACCAGTGGAATGTGAAACCTTTGAGTTGATCTCAGAGAAGCTTACGCCATTTTCAAAGGCAGGCGTTGGCTCGAAAACGTGCGGATTCTTTGGTAGTCTCGTGATACTGAAAATGTATTCTGTCACATAAAATATGCAACTCGTTTTGTTGTCAGTACCGAAGTACCCGTTATCATCCAAAAGTGTGTCCCTAATGTTTCGTAGAATCAGATCTCTTCAATCTCCTCAGTGATCGGTGTACGATGGATCCTGATGAGCTCAAGCTATCCGGATTAATTGATTAAATTCTAGTTCTTCAGTATACATATATTTATTTCTGCTTGAGGTGTGTTTGTCTTATAAGTTCTGTATTCACTAAACGGAGTTACAATTTTATGAAAGTTAGAGCTTCGTATCAGGAATTCCGTCATCAAGACTGACGAGCAAATATAATTTTCCAGATCCTGTAATACGAATCTGTGGATTGAAAACTGTTCTCTCGCATTCGCTCGAATTAAAAATACACTGAGTGCTTAGTTTCCTCTCATTGAAAATGTGGGCGAAATTGATATTAAGCGGAGTAACAATAACAAATAAATTATCTGCGTAATAGACACAGGTATACTCGTATATACTCGAGTCAATCACTGTTTCAATCCAGCACAATATATCTTTTAGGATTGTCTAAAATTTGGAGAAAATAGTGGGGAAGAACAGGAAGATTTCTATAATTAACTGTCGCATCGGATATTAAAAACAATTTTTCGTGATGTAAGAGGCCCCTCAAAAGAAATTCATTTTGAAAAGGCCGGGGGTCGAAAAGATTGGGAGCCACTGCAATAATATTTCCTGCCCAATTTGATGACGCCAAGGAAATTTTTAAATTTCCTGTCAACTCTCTGAAGTCAAGTCAAGTCACGATTTCCCCCTTGCCCCTTCCTCAGTACCTACCTCTCATGAAGTCATCAACTTTTAAGGCATCAGGTACTTCTAAAGAAGCTCCATCGCACCGATGGATTTTTAAAAGGGGCCCTGAGTATCAAAAAGCTGCAACACCCATGCGACATTATTTCGAGCCCAGTTTGATACTGAAGAAGGGATATATTCGGTCTTGAAACCGCAGAATGGGGCCGTATCTTGTCGAGCTGCTGCAGTCAGCAGGCTTCTCTTCCGAGCGGAAAGTACTCAACTTAATTGTTTATGCTGATGGAATAAGCAACTAGCTCGTGAAATGAACGCCTACTTGAGGATTGCGTTCGGGCGGTTGACGCGAGTTTGTCCGTAGGCGTCCAAAGAACTTAATTTTTACGGGTCGTGGGATCGCATCGATTTTTTCTTCCGGTGTGGGTAAAAGAAAGAAACAATATCCCAACCCTACAAAGGTTTGCACAACTGCTCGTCGTCGCGATAAGCCGTCTCTTCTTATCGAGGGCAAAGAGTGCGGAAGCGGTCATCGATCCGAACCTGAACACGTGTCGAGCCGTCGACACAAGGAAAAGGTGTTGTTTTCTTGATAACTGTCTATTTTTATTCTATTATATTTGCTGGAAACACTTGAGCGGTTTATTCTTCTTCTGGCTGCCAGGCAGAGAACAAGACGACTATCGTTTCTTCAGAAGATCACGATTTCCGAACAACAGCAAAATCTACTGAGAAACCATCATTCCGCGATTTTGGTATTACTTTCCCGAACAACTATCGATACAAAGCGAACATTTTTCTCTCAAGTACTGCATTACAGAATTTATGGGCGCCAGGTTAAGACGCACGTTTTTCCCTTTTCCCAGAAGAAATATGCCGTGTCTTGAAATGAATAGCGTCCAAGATTTCGATGCAAAATTGATTTGAAGGAGCGGTCCAAGAATGTAAACTCTGTGTGTTCAAATCATCCAAATCTCATTGATGCACAGAAGGCCAAAAGTTCGGTATAAAATGAAAGCAGAAAATTTAGAATTTAAGGTCTGAATCCGAGGAAGGACCTACAAAATATTTCCTTCGAGAAATTATTTTCAAGTGAAGTTTAATGGTAGCTATGATATTCCTTGCGAAGATGCTCAACTGAAAAATACGTGCTTTGAGCCCTCAAATGCAGTTCATGATTAAAAAAAAATATATACACCGTTTTAAATACTGTGCTGACAATTTTTTCGTTTTCTTTCAACTATTGAAAAAAAATAAGAACAAAGAATCACGCGAAAAGCTAAGTCATCGCCCGCCTGGGCGACTTGAAAGATTTAAGCCATTAGGCACCTTCATTATAAATGAGGTGAAGCCTTGAGAAACTTGACCCATTTTTCTTTCCATGGGTGCAAACGATTGCTATTTTTGCACTTGCGTTCGTTCCTTCGCCGAAGAAGATTTGCACCTACGAAGTTCAGCGATACCTGCTGTATGATTAAACACTGCGAGGACTCGATGGGTCGTATCAAGTCCTGCAACTCAATGCCAAAAATGATCACATGTAGAAAATTTAAAAAATATATATTGACCGAGTAATGTAAAGCTGCAAAGGGTACCTTTGAAAGCCTAATGTTTTTCCGGATCCCGGAAAATATCCAAATTTTTTAACGCGACGCTGTTTGAAATGGCTTAACTATTTAAAGATCCTTCGGAATTTCTCTTCATAAAATCTGAACATAATTAGTGCACTAAATAAGTTCATGTCAGGCATAAAATATGCGCAAAAACTCTCGGAAACGACGAAAGCAGTGCTCTACAAAGTCTACAGTGCTCAATTAACTGATGCTGGCAGCCGCATTTCCGCACAACCGACGAAATCGATCTTTTTTTTCTGCTGGTCCTCGGGGCATTATCCGACGCCAAAATCGGTCTCCTTGCGGAAAATCCGTTATGCGAGGCGGGCATTAAGCGAGACACCAGAGTATTGTGTATTTTTAGCCGCTTTCGCGCCAGAAAGCGGACGTTAATGTGGTGGCCGCAGTCGCGGCAGGAGTGACGGGCGTTGTTGTGTGTGAGGACAAAAGGGAGTCATCCTCAATCATCCGCGCTGCTTCACGGGTACGAGGCGGGTAAGGCGTGATCCTCCGGGTTCTTCATATTGTTTTTGCATGCGTGTCGCGGATTCGGGCTCGGGTTCGCGAGCCGTAGTCGGGTTGCGAAACCCCGTCTAGCTGGTGCTCCCACGTCGTGCCCGCGAGGTGTTCTATCACTCAGCGTCACGTAATTCAGTCGAGATTGCGAATATGGTGATGAAACTGCCTGTTTGTCGAGTGCGGTGAGAGAGTTTTTCATCAACGAGTGCCGTTCGTGAGAGTTAATTTGCGAGAGCGTTTGGAGTGTTGATCGTGAGAATTCATTTGCGTGGGCATTACACCATCCGTCATGCCATCAGCGGCCGAAACAAAGAAATGTGTATCAACCAAATTTCCCCACGAGTGTTCGCGGAACAGCTTTGAGCATTATTTTACTCGTTGAGTCAACTAGTCATCCGCAGTGCTTCGGCCGGATTCCGCGGATTTAGCTGAAGTCCCGAAAATTCGAAGAGTTTTACAATACTGTGAGGTGAAAAAATTTTCTGTCACTCTTTGTGATCAATGAACCTTTTTGAACCATGATGAGTAGCCGAATTTCAAATACGCGTAAGATGGCGCACACGTTCATTTTATGACAAGAACCTGTGGAAAAACGCAGAAAATTTTAAAACTATCTTCAAGCAGGAAGATACACATTTCGCAAATATCACAAATTGTTTCAATCATTTTTAGTGTTAATTACCAAGGCAGAAAATGTTCTGCATGAAGTACAGAGGCCGGAACAAAAAATCTACTGCGATTCAACAATAAGGTGTCATTTACACTCACGAAAAATCAAAGTAACTATTTTGACAAGAAATAAACGCTGATTTCAAGAGTTGAATGCTAGCCTAGAATTCGCAGTCTTTGGATTCCCGCAATGTTGAATTTCTGGTGGGTTCTCGTTCTAATCTCCTCACCAAAGGCTGGGAAATATTTATAGACTGTAATTTCATCCGAAAAATAGCCAACACTGCTTGCCTGCATTTAATGACATTTCTGAGTGAAGCAATATTTTTTGTAACCGGAATTCTGCATCAAATCCAGCAAAATATGCTTTACAGTCTGAAAATAGATCTTGCTGACCTGTTTTGGACTCGAAAAAACGATAATTGAATGCTACCTGGCAATGTACGAATATAACGTGGAGGAACCTTTGTAAGAACGAGGCAAAAAAAATTTGAAGGCTGTTTCATCAGCAGACAGTAGTCCAAAGTGCGTCCGTAGAATTCCGCGTGACCCGTGTGAAACGCCGCGGAAAAATAATTTAAAAATTTTAGCCTGCAATAATTTCGCGTGAAATCGCTGGATTACGACCAGGAAGTCATCGTGTTTGTTTCTCTTTCGTACCCCCAAGGAGAAAATGCCCGCGTGTCAGTGAGAACAGTGAGAGGTGGTACCAAGTGAGGTGCGATGGGGTCGTTGCCGCAAGACGTCGGCGAGCTGGTGGCGCAGCGCGACAAGGAGATCCACCAGCTCCAGATCCTGCTGAGGGAAAAGGATGACGAGATTGTGCAACTCCGGTCCCAGCTGGACAAGTACCAGAGTGTCATGGCCCTCGTGGGTTCCGTGTCGGGCCACGTGAGCGCCACCCTCAAGAGCCGCCCCCGGAAACAACGCGCCGGCATTTCCGCCGAGCCGCAAAGCCTCAACAGCATCCAGGAGCTCATCTCCACCCGGTTCCCTGAATACCCCAAGTCTCAAGAGTGAGTGTGTCATCCGGGTTCGCCTAATTAATCCATGCCCCTGCCATGGGCGCCATTTGGGACTCAGATCCGTTTTTGCCCCCCAACAAAAATACAAACAATACACAAAAATAAGTTTTAAAGGTGCATGTGCTCTGCAAAGAATTTATCTACGAGCAGGTGAATCATTTGACACTATTCTTCCATTTTTCAATGAACAGGAACATGTTTTCTAAGCCCAGCCCACAGAGTATGTTAAAACAATTTAAATGCTGCAAGAAAAGTTGTTTTTCCTGCCGCTAAATTCAAAAATTTAGTATTTCCTTGAAATCTGGCTAGTTCTGAATATATTGACATTTTTTGTCATTTGATTGGTCGCAACAGGTGCAAATACTTTGCCCCATGTGGGGATCAATTTGAAATTTTAAATACTTGACAAAATGTCGAATTAAAAATTGTGAAAAAGTTGCCCCATCCTATTTAGCGATAAACAAAGTGAAATCATGCAAAAATGTGTGGGTGGAGATTTGGTAGTTGATGGATTAAGTCTGTGCACATGTGCCAATTGATGTACCAACTTGAAGCATGTCGCCGAACTCTGCCTGAAACTCGAAAAGAGCAAAATTGGCGCCGAAGAAGTTTGAAAGATCGCAACAAGTCCATAATACCGTAAGCGAGTCTAGACCAGAGTTAAATTTTTGACCTGATTAGTCCTTACTGTATATTTTTTCTGCTGGAGATCCTGTAAAAATTGAATTCTGCGTTGAATTCTCTTACTCCATGTATCCATGTTGATCTTCACCAATTTTTTTAAGGAATATAAATAATTCCGTTTAGTTAGAGCATCAAGACCCCTGGCAAAAGGCAGCGACAGATTTTGCGCAATAAATAGAAAAATTAAATAATACGATACTAATCATTATGTTTGTGGCGAAGGACAAGGGAACACATAAATAGTTTTGTCAAATGATTTATTCGAGCTCTTTGATGAATAACATTCCAAATGATTCACGATAAAAATAAAGGAATGCATCGCAATTAAACAACGCGCAATATGAACACATCAAATTTTAGAAAGAAAGAATTTCTGCGCAAAATCCAATAGAATTCACTGAAGTAACTTCTAAGAGGGCTGTTTTTCAAGGAAAGATAGCGTTGAACTTCTATTTTTTCCTTGTCATGAAGTGAAGTCGTTTGACTAAAAACGTTCATTGCCGCTATTTTTCGCGTAGAAGCACACTGATAACTTATTTCGATGTCAAAACTAATTGAATTGTGATATCTGTAACGTTTCCTTTTTCTACGCCGCGTGAGGTGAGAACCCATTTCCAATTATAACTTCTGATCCAAAAACGTACAGCTTTCGTATGCAAAATAAGTTTCCTTTAGTGGTTCCAAATTTGAATCAAGGACAGAATATTGTTCCGAAGAGTCCGCATGACATTAGCACATGAAAGTTCAACTGTTCAAGCATTGTTCTAGTTTCCAAGTTATTCTAGTTTCTAATTTTAACCTCGAAGTATTCAAAAGATCGACTAGAATATCAGATCTCGCGCATTCGCGAAAAAATAAAATTATATTATTTAATTCTACTGCATTCTTATCATGATGGAAAACTTGTTGTTTTTTTTATGAATCAGATTCATGAAGTAGGCGAGCTTTCCTTAAAGATAGGCACCAATCGATTCCAAAAAATAAATTAAATAAAAGTAACGGCTGGATCGCAAATATATATTTTTCAGTCAAAATCATAAATAATCCAATGACTCAAAGTCATTGCCCCATCTTCTTCCCTGGGGATCTTCGCAAACGTTTTGGAGGTTCACATCAACAATCGGCTGGAACGTGTTTTTTTTAATTGCAGTGCATTTTTGTCAATTTACTTGTTTTATACAATGTGTGGGTTCTTGTAAAACCAGATCACGGCACTTGATCGAGTCAGCTATTCTCGACAACGACTTCATGAAGAACCTGGATCCAACCCAAATCCGCGAAATCGTCGACTGCATGTATCCAGTGGCTTATCCTCAAGGATCAACCATAATTCAAGAAGGAGATATCGGGAACAAAGTGTATGTTATGGAAGGTTAGTGTACTCATTTCATCCATCTCAATCCAGCAAGAAATCGTCGCATTTTCAAAACTTGGGTTGCGCGAATGGGGGTATAAAAGCTAACATCAGATCGATAGTTTCCTTCCATTCGTAACATTTCTCGCGCATGGAAGAGAAGGGTAGAATCTGCGAACATTCTGCTGATGATGCAATTACGTTTTGAACTTTGCAGAAGGGAAAGTCGAAGTTTCCAAAGATAACAAGTTCTTAAGTGTGCTTCCGCCTGGAAAGGTGTTCGGGGAGTTGGCGATTTTGTACAACTGCAAGCGTACGCGCAGCTAGTTTCCATGCAAGCGAATACAGAATAGTAAAAGAAATGTCCCGATAAGCTTAGTTTTCAAATTACGGTTTTTTTTTCAACCCAAGGCGATTTTAGCTCCTCCCGGCTATAATACGGCGTAAATAAACAAGCTTGATGTGAAAGGTTATTTGCGCATCATCCATAGAACACGAGTTCATATTGCTCTTGCAAAATACATTTTCAAATTATCTTTCGGGGGAATTTTGAAAATTTCTGCAAGATAGCAACATATTTGCTTGATATTCTGATGAATCATTTCCAAAGCAGCTGACGATTAGCCATGATCAGAAATTTGTCACCGATTAAATGTTTTTTAATCTATCGCAAACGTCAGAAAGAACTAACTTTTTTCGAAGTTCTCTTGAAAACGAGTTTGGATTACATTGTTCCCCTTGTCCAAATGAGGAAAATGGTTGTTGCAGACATGAACTAAGTTCTACTGGATGTTTGAACAGGTTTCGTAATTGTGGTTTGTATAGGCGATCTCGAAGATTTTTGAGAGGTTTCGTTCAATAATTACATTTCGGGACCATGTATGAGATTCGTGGGTCGAAAAAGGAGAATGAAAAAACGCTGCCCTAATTATTGTATTATGACGGAAACTTGATCAACCTTTGAAGTTCAGATTTGTCATGGGACTCTGATGAAAAGCGATTAACAACTGGCTAATGTGGTCATATTATAGTGCTGGTTTTATTTTTATTTGAATTTTAGAAGAATTGACATGCGGTTATTTATGATACGTTAAATTTCGGATTCTCCTTCGTATTAAATTTCATTTGAATTGACTCTTTTACGTACCTAACTAAATAATCAAAACTTATCTGTAACTTATAATTCATAATCAATTGATGATAAATAAGTGATTAGGTCTTGTTCAATTTTTCGAGATAATAATCTATAAAGTTCCAAATTATCATGGGACTCGAATTAATTATAACTCGTTAATGGGGGAAAATTAGTGCTGGTTTTATTTTTGCTTGAATTTTGAAAGAATTGTCATGCAGTTATTTATGATGCGTTACATTTCGGATTCTCCTTCCATGTAATTTAAAGTAAACTCAACTGAGAAAATGCATGGATTGATTTATTAGTTTTGAATAGACATTGAATATTAAGTATTAGTTAACTACTATTTATCCACTAATCCAGAACAAGTTAAAAAAAACCCTGAATAATTTATAAAGTTCCAAATTATCATGGGACTCGAATTAATTATATCTCGTTAATGGGGGAAAATTAGTGCTGGTTTTATTTTTGCTTGAATTTTGAAAGAATTGTCATGCAGTTATTTTACTACGCAATTTAAAGCCTAAGAGGAAGGTATATTAAATTTCATTTGAACTGACTCTTTTACGTACCTAACTAAATAATCAAAACTTATATGTAACTTATAATTCATAATCAATTGATGATAAATATCACTAATCCAGAACAAGTAAAAAAAGCGCTAAATAATCTATAAAGTTCCAAATTATCATGGGACTCGAATCAAGTATAACTTGTTAATGGGGGAAAATTAGTGCTGGTTTTATTTTTGCTTGAATTTTGAAAGAATTGTCATGCGGTTATTTATGATGCGTTAAATTTCGGATTCTCCTTCCACATAATTTAAAGTGAACTTGACTGAGAAAATGCATGGATTGATTTATTAGTTTTGAATAGACATTGAATATTAAGTATTAGTTAACTACTATTTATTCACTAATCCAGAACAAGTAAAAAAAAGCGCTAAATAATCTATAAAGTTCCAAATTATCATGGGACTCGAATTAAGTATAACTTGTTAATGGGGGAAAATTAGTGCTGGTTTTATTTTTGCTTGAATTTTGAAAGAATTGTCATGCGGTTACAGCGTCGACGGACTGTAAACTATGGGCTGTCGAGCGGCAATGCTTCCAAACGATCATGATGCGAACGGGACTCATTCGACAGAACGAGTACTTGGCGTTTCTCAAAAAGTAAGATGATTTCCGTCGGGTGTCTTCTCTCGATTTATGATTGTAATCAAATTTTTAAAATGTATTTTGGTGTGCAGTATAGGCAGGAAATTCTTGGAGAGGCTTCTCCGAGAGTATTTCTAAAGGCTGCAGAACCTTCTCCATGCAAAGAAGGAGGCTATCGACGACTACAGTTAATAACTACTGCTTGCAATTAAATGCGAACAACCAGTGCAAATATGTACAGGGAGAATACATCATCCGCCAGGGTGCTGTCGGTGATACGTTTTTCATCATTAGTCAGGGAACGGTATGCATCTTTTTTTTTAATTTTTCCTCCTGGTGGCAAAATAAACGCTAAAAAATTGTTTTTAGAATTTTATCGAGGAAATGAAATTTTTAATGTTCACTCTGAACATTGATTACTTTAATTTTAGAAAAATATAACTTTGGTAATTTTTGTTGAGGGGAGGTGGGAACTGACACATCCCAAAGCTTTCTGATCAATGCAAATTCCCAAAGCAAAATTTCCTTTTTCAAGAATTACCATGTTCCATTTTTTCACGCCGCAAGGCTCGATCAAATAATCATTTCCCTTTCAGGAAACTGGGTGCAATTTTTATGGCATCATTTTTATTATCCGTGTTTGATTCTAATTCAACCATAAATTCAGGTGCAAGTGACGATGCGTCAGCCGGACGGGAAAGAAAAGATCATCCGAACGTTGAAGCAAGGAGAGTTTTTTGGTGAAAAAGCACTTCAAGGGTATGTCCAAGATTTTTGATCCCACTTCAGTGTTATTTCAGGACTGAGACAATATTCCGAGGTTTTTACTGGAAAATTGCTTAGCAAGAAAGCGGAATCCCTTGCGGTTATAATTATTCATTCCGTGGCTCAAAAAATGAGTTCCTTCCCCTCGGTAAATTGTATTAAAAAAATAAGGTGGTCGCTGCTTAGGGATTTTCACCCGGAAAACTATACTGGTGTTATTAGAGTAACTTACAGAATGGTAATTAAAAGTTAATTTACTGGTGCGCTAAATTTGGAATTTTCAGTCTATTGGTTAAAGTAAGCCTAACTGAGGAGAAAAAATCAATCGGTTTAATTATTTAAAATGAAAACTATTTATATTGAACGTGAAATATTAGTGAACCATTATTTATTCCCTACTCCAAAAAAAAAAGTTGAAACCCATGTAGTAGTAGCGGATGTAACCCCTAAGCCTAAGGGTTCTAACAGAGACCGAAATTTCACAGGGAAGATGTGCGAACTGCAAATATTATTGCCGACAAAGAAGGCTCGACATGTCTCGTCCTCGACCGTGACACTTTCAACCAACTTGTCTCGTCGTTGCCGGATATCCGGCGACAGTATGTTGAGGAATCGTCCAAGCAGCGCCGGTGAGTCTATTTCCGGTTTCCTTTCCGGAATTTTTGATGGCTTTCTCGATTTTTACGCGTTCGCTGACCTTTGGTATTCATTCCGGATCAGAATCGCTGATCAGGAATTCACCAGCCTAAAGCTGTCGGATTTGCGCATTCTCACCACACTGGGTGTCGGCGGATTCGGCCGTGTGGAGTTGGTGCAGCTCGCCGCGGATTCCAGCAAATCCTTCGCTTTGAAGCAGATGAAAAAGGCTCAGGTACGTTCTCAGCTGCTTTTGTGCACCTGAAATCACATGTGCCTTTTTTTTTTAATCCCCCTGGACTCTCGGCAAAAATGGAGGGAAAAATGTACCTCGAACCCGGGGTTCACACCAGTTCACCCGTAGCTCCTGGTCTTGGACTTCAACAATCTGAGAAAATTCCCAACGTCCCTTTTTAATTAGCATTTCGCTTTAACGACGGTTTTTGTGTTACTTCCTTTTTGACGCAATCAGGCAGGACATTGATTGATGACGGCTGAAATATTTGCGAGAACCTGCAGGGTTCAAGACAAATTTGTGGAGTTATTTCGCCAGTTTTCTTTTTTTTCTGTTTTTGAAAATATTTTACCTGGTTGTCCCCTTTATTCATGTGTCCGCTTTTTAGCGTCTTTGAAAGGGGCTATTAAAAATTACTAAACTGGGTAGAACAGGCCTAAGGTTTACTTCCTAGTCTCACCAAAAGAAGTTTACTTTAGTTGATATAGTTCTGAAGCCTTTTTATGAGGAACGAATCGCGGTAAACTTCCTCATATTTGCTTTTCCTGCTCGTTATTTTTTATTTAGTTGAGATCATGTGTTCTTTGTGGTACAAAGATGCTCAAGTTGGCAATGAGTTATTTATGATTTTTATGAATACTTATGTTTGAATTGCTCATAAGCCGGTTCTTGCATGATGATCTAATTGGGAGAATAAGCTATCGATTATCAGGCGAAACGTGCCGGCAACTTTTTGTGTCAAAATCAATAAAATATTCGCTTTAAAAAATCCCGAGTACCACCATGACAACCATGAACAAGATTTATGATCAACTTCAGATGGTTTAAAATTATGACGGAGCGTCTATTTATGAAACCGGGTATTTTGAGGTACTGTGTATTGATGATCTGAATTGGGTTCTATTTTACTTTTAATGTTGCAGATCGTGGAGACCCGACAGCAGCAGCACATAATGAGTGAGAAAGAAATAATGGAGGAATGTAACTGCGAATTCATCGTGAAGTTGTACAAAACCTTCAAGAACCAGAAGTACCTGTACATGCTGATGGAGTGTTGTCTTGGGGGCGAGCTGTGGACCATTCTCAGGAAGCAACTCCTAAAAGACCGTGAAAGGCGGCTTGAAAAAGTAAAGCCCAACCCAAGCAATGAGTGCAAGTGCCAGGAAAACCACACAATCAAAATGCTTATTCCCTAAGCCCAACGAACACCTGATAGAAACCCTGACTCGGAGTTTGGTCTTATATAATGTGATTATCCGGTGTTCAGAAACCTGTGACCAGACATTTTGGCCTTCATCTTTGTTCGGTAACATCAGCATTTTGTGTGAATACATTTTTTTGAAATCCGTGCCTGAGTTGCTAGTGGAAATGACAATTTTGGAACTGTAAGACTGGACAAACTCACTGAGTTCTTTGTTACCTAATAACAATTTCATTCAGAATTCGAGCAACTTTTTATCGTCAATGAATCTCAGATGATGAAACTTAGAACGTCTCATTTTGCAACTGAATTGTTTCGCAACGCTGTGAGTGACATCTACCGCATTTAAACATTGTTACAACGGAGTCCGGGAAAATGTTTTGGATAGGCTATTTTTATTCGATGAGTCGTAATTAATGAAAGGGAATAATCAAGCGAAACTTCGTTCTTTCTCCTTCAGAAGAATGTTACAATAATAAGTGAAATGAGGTTCTTTGATTACGTTTGTGAGGGAAAAATGCTGGATTATATTGATCTCAGCTGAACGTGTATGGCGCTTTTTTTTACGTTACTCCTCCTCTTAGCGAAAACTTTAGGCTCTTGCTGAAGGATTCTATCGAAAGCGTAGGGATTTCCTCGTCGACGACTCAGCGGAAACAGCGGAAAGTCGAAGGAACTGCGTAAGGATTTAAGCGGGAACCGTTGGGTCTGAAAATGGGTTTCATTCATGGCAGCATTTCAATTTGACTCACTTCCGGCTGCGTTTCAACGTTTCCCGCTCGACTGAATGCTCAAGCAAAATTGAACCCTCTGTCGCGAAGAGTTAAAATTCGCTGTCGTTCACGACTTGTGTTTTCTCGGGGAAATGCGCGCATTTTTCCGGTTCCTTTCTTCATGGTAATCAAGGGCCGTGTTTCGTGAGTTATTTCAGAAGAAATCGTAGCTGATGGGATCGCCTGAAAAATGTCATTCTCTCTGTCGATTTAATTTTGAGGGATAGCCAGAAGTCACAGGGTGCCAAGCGGGGCGATGGGGGCAGGTTTGTACTCAGCCAGTTCATGCTCGCTTCACGTAACTAACAATTTATTTTTTTACGAAGTTTCCACACCCTGCACCAATGTGAGCATGAAACGCGAGGCATATTTTTGCAATCCCGTCATTTAGCAAGCAGATGCTCAGTTCGCATGCGAGTTATCATGTTTTTTTTTCCTGTATATTGGCGAGCACCTATAATAATAGCAGCAGCAAGTGCAATATGAATCGCTTCGTATTGGCTCTATCGCAGTCTGCTTATCATTCCGTGATGGAGAAATTTTTGATAGGTCCACTCATGAATGTCAAATATGAAATGGCTTTTTTGAGTTGATAAATTTCAGGATTTTGAAAAGTCGTGGTATAATATGCCGTACTCAAAGCTTCCCGATTTCTTGGGCGCCTCCGAAAACGAGCATTTTAATATCATGATTTTAATGAAGATATTTCATTTACTGCTGATTTTCTCAACGAATTGAACAAATATGATCGCCGTGAGCATAACTTTCAAAGTTCATGAAATGTTTACATGCAGAGGGTTTTTCTCCGAATTTGTTTGTTAATTTCTTGCGTGAATCGTTTATTTATGACGTGATTCATTTATTTTTTTATGAATAAATTCAAAACAATCTGGAATGATCGAGTCACCCCAAATATGTTTGCAATGCTGAGATGAGAAATTTGTATGCTCTTGGGAAAAGTAGACATTATGAAGTACATTCCCGCGCAGAACGTGGCGCGGAGTTTTTCGGATAATGGACGTTGCATTTCAATTGGAACTGATTGAGCTAATTAACCGAGACATCACTGCATAGGTGATAATTTTCTAGAGTTAAACTCCCTTTTCCATTTTTCTTTTTTTTTTAATTTACGTGCCTATTTGATACCCGCTCAATTGGCATTCAGCACCGCTTCAGAACAGCTTCGTTCGATTTTAGCACGACTGTACGCATAGAACAAGCGGGAACATCGCGGTTGCATGCCTGTTTTTTTTTCTTAGATTAAGAAGCTTTTTTGTAGACTGGGTTCCATGGTAGATTTTACATGCATTTGAGATGGGTTCTGCAGAGACCGAGGGCATTTCGACGACGGGACAACGAGGTTCTACACAGCGTGTGTGCTGGAGGCGTTCGACTACCTGCACTCCCGGAACATCATCTACAGGGACTTGAAACCCGAGAATTTGCTGCTGGATTCGCGGGGTTACGTGAAGCTAGTGGACTTCGGGTTCGCCAAAAAGCTACCCATAGGACGGAAAACGTGGACGTTTTGCGGAACGCCGGAGTACGTGGCCCCGGAAGTCATCCTTAACAAAGGCCACGACATTTCCGCTGACTACTGGAGTCTCGGAGTGCTCATGTTTGAGCTGCTGACGGGTACAATACATTTTTTTTAGATTCACTAATATAATACTGTTTGAGGGACAAACGAAGATATTTTCTCAATTTTTCCAAGGCAATTTTGAATAATCATCGGAAATCGCTGGGGTTTACCGTCTTCTTTTTCTCAGTCGCGAGTGGTTTGGGACCATCAGTTTTCATTCACATTGAAAAAGAAAGAAATATTGGAATACATTATATCATCATTTTATCGTTTCATACTTGCCATTTTCTCAGGCTAGACGCATTTTCAAAAAATTTAAACGAACTCGGCGTCAAACCCGAAGATTTTCCATAACATTTTTGAATAATCCAAATATCTTCTGACTGAAATCCCTGCTTTTGTTCCTTCAGGCGCCATAATACGTTGCTAATCATTGAATGTACCTGTTAAATGTTTTTTAATTGACATAAGATGCTTCAGAAGTTCAAGAAGTCATTACAAATTGAATTGGATCATGTTCTGCCTTGAAATATTTTGTGATCAGAAGTCATAACGCGTCGGCAATGCAAAGAATGTTTTGGGTTGTTTTCCTGAAATATTTGCCATGATTTTCGTGCATTTTTTGGAAAAATTTGGTCTAAGCACCTGAAACAATCGAAAGCTTTTCGGAGGGAGCTCACACAAGGGGAATGAAATTAAAAATGCACCTGTTCCGTTCGTCGAGAAGGAAAAATTGGAAATTTTCAGCCGCTCTTGACGTGAAAGCGACGAAAAAAAAATCATTCTAATTTGACGTTATCTATCGAGTAACGTCCAGATTGTAGAGTTAGAAGTAAAAAAAAAAAGCACCTGTCCTATCCGCTTTTAGTTTAGGCTGCTCATTTTTTGCTCGCCCTCGACCCCATGTTTTTCTTCGACATTATGAATTTTATTACATTTCAGAAGTACTTCATCTGGTCCGGACGTGTTTTTTTGGGTTAATTTAGTCGGTGCTTATTTTGTTATTTTCGGTTAGGTTGGGTTTAGGACAGGTGGGGATTGAGGTGATAGATGCCTGACACCATAGAAAGCCCAGTTGTCATGGAAAGAACAACATATTTCTTTCATGAAGAGAATGAGCTCTTGCATGTTTCATTTCGATGGACAATTTTTCTGCGCTCGAAAGCCTCGAAAAATATTTGAAGGCTACAATTCAGCTGTTTGGCGGCTCTAGCGTGGTTGTGACTTTGTGCCAAGTTTGTTGCAATTCGGCACGGATTCCGGATCCGGCGACCCGCGGTCTCGTGCTATGTCTTCCTCTTTGTCGTCACAGAACTTACGTGAAGAGAAGGGATTTCTAATCCAATTCAGCAAAGAAAAAAGAAGTATCTGTAACCTTTTGAGAGTCCCGTTCTGTCATCCATGAACCGGAACCTGACTTTTTCCTAGACACCAAGAGTTTCTGGTTCTTTATTACATGACGTTGTGACACATGTCGCACGCTCCGCGAAGTCCGCCGAGATTTATTTTTTTTTACCCCTTTTCGCGGGTGCTACGGGTTATTTCTTTGTTCTGGTTGCGTTCCGAGGACTGAATGACGGGTTTTGTGTTCTCGCAGGAACCCCGCCGTTTACTGGCTCTGACACAATGCGGACGTATAATATCATCCTGAAGGGTATCGACGCTGTCGAGTTCCCGCCGAGGAACATCACTCGACAGGCCACAGCACTCATCAAGAAACTTTGTCGGTGAGAGCTAAAAGCTTTCATTGTTTTTTCGCAAGCTTTATTTTTTCGGTTGAAATAATATCAACATTTCGTGTTTTTGTTGACCCCAGTGACAACCCCGGTGAGCGGCTGGGATATCAGCGTGGGGGAATCAAAGATATTCAGAAACACAAGTGAGTTTCGGATTTTTTTTAATCTTCATGAAGTTTTGAATAACCTCGAACGTTCATCGTGGGAATTCCAAAGTGCTTTGGATATGAACAAAGTGCATTACTTTCTGAGGGGGTTTATTTTTTTAATTGTCGTTTTCTGGTCATTTAATTGAACATCTGTCGCAAAGCTGGACATACTCAACGCAGGGAAAAGCGTTGATTTTCTTTTTAAAATTATCAGAGAGATCATACAAGTTTGATTCAAGTTTCCTGGATTGATTATTGCAGCCAAGGTAAAAATGCTGTAATACACTCTAAAATTAAACCGCTTTCAAATAGCTTTCGAATTATATCCACCTTCATAAATTGAGATGCACGTTTTTGTCACGCGCGCATTTAAATGAAATATAGTCGCACCTGTATAGATATTTTATTTATATTTCTTCAAACGCTTCGGCAGAAATGACAACGCTTAAAAATCTCGTCATGACTTATTTCCAGATGCGGTTTAAGTTGATTTTGGTCATTTTTTCTCCGTTTGAAATTATTCAAATTTCTGGATTTTGCTCCGAATTATTTCATTGGAAATGAAAAACGTCCCTCGAAAATAGGATTATGTTTTGATCAATAAGTGGATCTGACGGGGCTTGTGGAAGAAAATTTCACTTTACTGGGTAGACTTGTTACTCTTGTATTTCTTTGTGCTTATTGGAAAATCCATTTCGTTCGAAAATGTGGTGAGTAGTGAGTGACCTGACAAAAATATAAGTTCGGTTTGAAGGAATGATCATCCTCTTGAAAAATATTTCCAATTTCTTCAAGTAAATTTTGATGCAGAAGCAAATTTCCTGCAATGATTTTAATTTTACTATTAGTGATAAGATTTCACCTATATTAAAAGAAGTCCAGCTTTATTATTGGCTAGTGGTTCTGCAAAACAGTTCTATTCACGCGTGGTGAATCTTTCTGATCGTAATGCTCTCTAATGAAAGGTGGTTCGATGGGTTCAACTGGGAAGGACTTCGGGCCTTGAGCTTGAAACCCCCAATGTTGCCCACTATCCGGTCCGTTACCGATTCATCCAACTTCGACCCGTACCCGCCTGACACGGACGGCCCGCCACCCGACGACCTTTCGGGTTGGGACGTGGACTTTTGAATCGCAGCAACGGCCACTGAGGTAATTCGATAAGATCCCGTGCTGTACTATATTACAGGTACTGTGCAGTACTTTAATATGACAGACGCCTTCTTTCTGGAAAAAATGCCCGGGACAGCAGGTGGATTTATTAATTCACCTGAGCATGACGCTCGAGGTCATTTGTGCCGAAAATTAATTTCATTCTGTATCTGAAAACAAACTGGGGGAGTTACGTTTTATCGAAGATAATTAATCGGATCTCACTTCCACACCTACTTCATGTTTATTAATTCATGAAAATTTTTCAAAAATTTCGGGGATTCAGATCCGAAAGCAGAAGGACGTTCTCTATTCAGATAAGAAAATATAAAATTCTGTGGGAGGATTGTAACCCAGAAATTCGATCCTTATGCACATTGGGGCTCCGAGATACGGACGTAATTGGCGTTTGGACTTTGTCCCTATGTCGGAGCGTCCGTATTTCGGGTCACGTTTTCCCGAAGACTTCAATGGCAAAATATTTAATTGGTTCTCCTGTTCATGAAAAGTTAGGAATAAAGTCCCCAAAAAAATTAAAGAAAAATGCTTTTCTCAACTTCAAAATACGGAAAATAACTGCTACAAGAAAACCACACCGAAATATGATCTTTCGGGATGAGACAGAGCTCAAGATGCAAAAACAAGAACAATTCTACCTATACTAAATGCACATATTATGAAAAAAAACTGTGAAAAAATAAGCCCGAAATCGGCCTGTTTTTGGTTATGAATTGAGGTAATTTTATAACGGAATCTATTTTTAATTTGTGTGAATATGAGTAGCTCGATTTGTTCAAGAAATATACAAATAAAAATTGAAGATTTTCATTTTTCTAAAAATTCTGGAAAAGATTATGCATCTCGAGATATTGTCTGGATTCGGTCAGATTTTTCAGTTTCAATAAGTCGTACCTTCTGTCATGGGTCCATGGGATCCCAGACAAAGGAATTGAATTGTGCAGCCATCAGAATGCAANTGTGCGTCATATCTAAATTACCAGGCGATTTTTCGTCGAAAAAATCATTTTCCGTCTCTTGCCTTTCATCTATTGACTGTTAATTGAATGGTTGTAATGGCAGAGTCAATTTTAACATTGGTTGGTTAGCTCAGAATATTGAATGAGGTAATTATAGTTGAAAGGCCCTTTAACGCTAGGTTCTAACTTCTCCTCTCAAAGAGGAATGAAAGTTTTTACACCCAGGTGCTTGGACTGGGTCAGGAAGAAATCAGGTGGATTGGCCAATTTAGGAAAATCAAAGAAGTGATGACCACTTCTTGTCCTTGAGTGAGGCTCAGTGAGTCTTGCAAAAACGGGATTTGCAACACCTTTTCTTGTCCAGTTGCAGTCTGATGCTGGAGCTGTGTTGTTTTGGTACGCCACACTTTCAATATATCCGAGTTACACCGTAATACTGTATTTAGTCACTCGGTCGCTATACGTGTCATTTCCGGACGTTTAGACCTTCAATTTTATTTTTTTTAAAGCTGAAAATAATTTTTCTTTCTTTTTTGACCAGGACGGATCGCCATTAGCAAGCAAAAGCCAACACGTGTCCTGGCTTCCGCACACGTGGCCTTCCGCCGAGCGGAGTTCGGGTTTCCTGGCGGACAATCGGCAGGCATTTTTTTGGTCTTTTTTCGGGAAACGCTCGTGTTTCATTTAGCTTTATCCCCGGCTCGTTATCCCTGTTCTGCCTTGTTGAATGGTCGCCTGAACCCCTTCGGATGTACCCGTCGTTCATTGGTGCTCATCGTCGTCCTACGTCCTTCTTATCGCTTCTGATTCGACAGGGATGAACAACCTGTCCGCGGTTCTCTTTCCTGGGTTCGTGCGCGTGAATGGAAATGAAAATTTTATCCGCGTTATCGCTTTCGTTGCTCGGTGTAGCGGTCAGAAAGTTCCCTGTTGATTTCATTGCGCGAAGACCGGTATTTTTTGTTCCGTTTGATAATTTTTCAGTGTGTTTCACCATCAAGACTCGTGTCCTGGATCCCCCAAAAAAAATTACTTAGCAGCTGAAGAAAGGGTTTGAGATTTCAAACCGAGTGAAACCGCGAAACATGCGACTTGCAATATCATTCCATGTTTCTTATTGCAGAATAACGCTTTTTAAGCCATTAATTTCAAGGATTTGGGAACTCGAACCTCCTCAAATCGATTTTTTTTTCAAGTCCCTGTATGAAATCCCTCAGGAACAATGCATTAAAAACCTCCTTAACCCCAATAATTTCCTCCTCAAACCTCTGTGAATCGAATTTCCCCGAAGACTTTTTACTATTATTTAAGGACACAGTGAAGAGGAACTTAATGAAGATGTAACTTGTTGCCTTTCAAAACGAAGTAATGGACTAATTGGGCAAATAAACCCTTGCCTTCGAATTCAGCATATTTGTCAACTCATTCGTGACAAATTCAAGGCCCATAAAATATAACCAATTAAAATATCCTGTGATTATTTTCCCCCCAACAAAAATGCTTTTCCGAAATGGAAACATCCCCAACTCAATTTTTTGTTCTAGTCCCTTGAAGTTCGGTTTAAAGAGGTTCTACCGTAATGGGTTGAATGTCTGTACTTTTTGGAAATTTCTTTAAACTTTCAAAGAATATTCCCGGTTGGAAGAGCGAGCCCGGAAAAACAAAACGTGTCGGACTATGATTCAATACCCTGGTCATATACGAGTCGGTACTATATACCATTGGGTCATTCAACATGTCCTCAAAAATATCCGTTGCTCAACTGATAGTACTTTTGAAAGAAACAAAAAAGTACGTTTCCCGTTGAATGCAAGTTCGCAACACTATGTTTTGCTCAATGGAGAGTGATTCGCGAACTTTTTTCCAAACACACGTGCGTGCCTTTGCATTTTGAGAGTCGTTCAGACCGCTACACCGACCGTTCATTGTGGAGAGAAAGTTCGGCAGCTGTTCAGTGAAAGTCAGCCACGAGAAATCCCCATGACGTGCGTGCGTTCATTCTGTGGTAAAATTGTTTTTTTGTTTCTCCCCCACTTTGGATTGAAAGAAGAAGAAAAAAAAAAGAACTCAGTATTTTGTCGAGGAATAAGGAAAGGATGCCGACTGAGCGAAGGGATTTTGCTTCCGATTTCTTACCCCGTAAAGTGTATTCCGCTGGCCTTTTCTCCGGGAGGAAATTATTCTTGTGTATATTTTTTTGGCAAACCGTCGCTGCTGGAATCCGAAAGCAAAGAAAGAGAATGTCGACCTTCTTTTTCGAAGATCTCGTGTTCGTTCATTTTTCTTAATTCAATCGATTTCGGGTACAGGTTTTATATGGGTATCGCAATTTTTTCTTAATCCACATGTACGCACGTGACACAGAAATTTTTATTTTATTATCAAATATACGGTACTTCTTGATTTCCTTTACCATGTGCAGCCGCGAATAATTATGCGTGTACCTCACGGGATTGCCAATGATGCAAACAACTTTCTTATAAACTATAGGGGAAATTCCAGTTCTTCTGAAATTATAAGAAACGCTGTTTGAAATTTAGAGATAAGGGGTCCCATGAACCGTACCAACAATTCTAGTTTAACAAACCGAAGAGAGAGGATTTGCGTAATTTTCATAATTCTCGTCCTTGCATGGTTTTTTTTTTTATCTTGGACGGCTGCATCACGTTTCAATAGTTGCAAATATATCCCGTGATCGAGTTATGAGATGCATAAAAAGCATTATTATACGAGAAAGGCATGATCAATGCGGAAAAATCGGCGGTGTCTCTGACTCAAGGTAAATATTGTGAGACTCCATCAAAACTTAATCCTCAAGGCTGGACTTGAGGGATGTACAATAGCAATTTCTATCTATTTTTTTTATCATGCGGCTGACCCAATTTGTTAAGTCAGTTTTCAGCAAAATTGTATGTTGGATTTTCTAAAAAAAAAAAAAAGAAGCTAATTCGACGATCAAGCAGAAGTATTCCTGCCGTGACATGTGTGCATATTTTTTAAAAATCTCAAGTTTTTTTTTTACAAACAAATGCTCAAAATTGGGAAAATATGATAAAATCTGCGAAATTATTTCAATTCAGTGAAATCGAGGCTCAGGAACAAATCACTGAACTGTTCAGACAATGCCACTTCTTACGAAAAAAAAGTTTTCAAAACCTTTTGAAATCCACCACAAAAAAAGGATGACATGCCGAATATGAAACCAAGGGTAGATGGCGCACGAAAGGCATCGCCCGACTTCCCTCGCATGACAAAAATTCCATGCAAGTCCACATTTCTTCATCTTCGCTCAGCTGTTCGCAAAAATTCGCTGGTAGCGTGGAGATATTCCGACGAATCTCGATTTCTGAAAAATGCAGAGGTGTACAGCATATTTTTCTGCGCATTTCGGAAGGACAATTGCGCCGTCTACTAAACTAGCTGTATATACAGTAGTCATGCATTCCGATTTTTTTCCGGAAAAGTAGAACAAAAGTGGCAGAAAGGCGCTGAGGATCCTGGTGAGGGTCGGAATGAAGCCAGCCGGTTGCCAAGAGACCCGCATGGGCCCCCTCGCCAGTGATCAATAACCCGTATGATTCCGGGAACTGCCACTGAGCCCTCTCCACCCGGATACTCCGGGCTGCGCCGTCGTCCAGCCGGGATCCCTGTCACCCCATTGTTGGGTTCGCGGAGTTGCCGAGAACACGGATATTTCCCCTCATTTCCCTAATCCGCTGACATGGTATCCCGAGTGCTTCAAGGTGTCCTGACTCGTAGTTTCGCAAATACCTGAAGGATATACAATACTGTATCTGAAATCCGTGTGCTCAAAATACTGTGTACCCTGATGAATGTCGTTTGTTGCAGTAGACTTCCAACTGATGGTGATTGCGGAAGTTACATATTTTAAACGCAGCGCTAGAATAAATATCTGCATTTTCTTGCACGAGCTTCAACATATCCGTTAGTTGCTATGTAGCATTCTGAACTCTATGGGATTTATTTATAAACCATGGATCATCAAAGACTCGATTTTTGGACATTTACGCAGATCCTGTCGAATTTCCCTGGAATATCGATGATTTGACAAATTAGCCTTTTCCTACTATCAACGTTTACATTTGATGTGATCCTTTTCTTCAAACATTTCAAAATGATCCAAAAATTGTTTGAAACGATTAAAAGTACCGCTGGTGAAACGAAAAATACGCCGTAACCTTCTAGGAAAATTTCAGATGCTTCTTTGAACCTTATTTTGCAGTTTATAAGATGTAAGTTTTAGTATTCTTCCTATTTTCGATTTATATCGATCGTATTTTTTAATTATGACTCCAAATGTGGCTCACAACTGACTGACTAAATGCGTTGAAACTTCGGTTCGAATAGGAAATAATCTTACTTTTTTTCCTGAATAATCAGCTGTACATTCAGATGTGTTTTCTACTCATATTGCCACATCGCGAACTATTTAATTGCGATAGATATTCGATTACTCAATATTGAGTGATTTGGCTTCCGGTGTGTGAATGGAGGGGTTTGAAATCTGGGTGTTTGATTTTCAGAAAGAAAAAATCTATGTGAGCTTTCCATGGATGTGGTCAATGACGTCCATTTCACGACTCGGGCGATTTAACTGATATGGATAAATATAAAAACCTTGGGGTCATTGGTGAAGGCTCGTATGGCATCGTTTTGAAATGCAGACACAAGGAAACTGGGCAGCTTGTCGCCATCAAAAAGTTCCTGGAGACAGATGATGACCTTCTGGTCAAGAAAATCGCCGTTCGTGAAGTTCGAATGCTGAAAGTGGGTACATGTTTTCAAACTGCGAATTTTCCCTCTCGGAATTTAGATTTTTCAAGTCATAAATGCATTCAGGTTTATTTTCCCGACGAATAGCAAAAAATAAATCTCTTCGCTTTTTGAAACGGCCACCATCATATAATGGTGTGAAATTCTTTGTATATCTTCACGCTAAATCGCAGTGAGTTGCAACGGATGGGCCAGAAAATCTTAAAGTTGAATCGATGTCAAAAATCTCGATTGTGCGTCATATCTAAATTACCAGGCGATTTTTCGTCGAAAAAATCATTTTCCGTCTCTTGCCTTTCAGCGATTGACGCATGAAAACCTGGTGAATCTTTTGGAAGTCTTCAGGCGGAAACAGAGATTGTTTCTAGTTTTCGAATATGTGGACCACACAGTCTTGAAAGAACTTGAAGAAAATCCGGAAGGACTCCATTGGACAGTCGTTAGACAGCACACATGGCAACTACTTCGAGGAATCGATTACTGCCATTCTCAGAATGTGAGTGCAACAATGAATAAATGTAAAAGTACCTTATAACCAAACTTGGTCTGAATTTTACTCAGCATAAAAAGCTGCGGTAATTTAAAAAAAACGTCAAGACCGAGTGTTGGTTCAGTATGTGAACAATAGCTGATATATTCGGGCGTTGTGATGGGTTTTCCAGATAATCCATCGGGACATCAAACCTGAAAACATTCTCATCAGTGGCGGAGGAGTCGTGAAATTATGTGATTTCGGATTTGCGAGGATGATGCCTGCAGCTGGGGAGTCTTGCACAGATTACGTGGCTACAAGATGGTACAGAGCTCCTGAGCTGCTAGTTGGTGATACTAAGTATGGAAAGTAAGTCTGTCTGAGATTTCAGAAGATGAACTTGGAGCGTGGCTTCCTGACACCTCGTGAAGAGCATACAGAAAAAAATTTGCGTATTTTTCTCGATTTTCCAAGAAAATGTTTTCTATATTTTAACCTCAATTTATTGATAATCAAAAGGACTGGAAATTTGAGTAAGGGAGGTTTGACTATACTGTACAGAAATATATGCAAAATAATTTGCATTTTCTTGGTTTTTTGGAAAACCTGTTCCATATTCTAGCCCCGGTACAACAACAAAAGGTATTAAAATTTGAATAAGGGAGGGTTGAATCCAGATGTTTCGAACAGTCAAAATAATATGTAAGTTTTTTCTTGGTACTCGAGAAAACGTTTTCTATATTTTAGCCCCAATTTAAAAACAAAAGGCATTAAAATTTGCCAAAGGGAGGTTTTATTCCAGTGGGGAGGTTTAAATTGGATTCGACTAGGGGCCTTTTCACCAATTATTTTTTCTTATGAACTTTTTTCAGGGAAGTGGACGTTTGGGCAATTGGGTGCTTATTTGCTGAGATGATGTCGGGTGATCCATTGTTTCCTGGGGAGTCAGATGTTGACCAACTTTTCCAGATCATCAGATGCATGGGTAAACGATTCCGTATCTAACACGAACCTTGTGGAAACTTGATATTCAACATACTTTGTCAATTCTTCCAAGGTCGGATCGCACCTCGTCACTTGGAACTGATTTCAACGAACCCAACGTTTCACGGGATGAAAGTAATGATGGACGAACGTCGGAACTTGGAGGAATTGTTCCCTGATTGGCAGAACCATTGTCTTCATTTCTTGTCCTGTACGCTGGAAATGGATCCGCAAAGTCGACCTTCGTCTGGAAATCTGTTGCAGCACAAACTTTTCACTCATGATGCGTTCCCGCAAAGTTTCTATCCTCAATTGAAGAAGCTCGTGGAAAATGAATTTTTGGGAAATCCTCTGCTCAGAGGAAAGCGAAGATCAGCATTGTTGCCGCAGCCGAAAAAGCAGTTGGACGGGATTCTGTCGCCCGTCACGAAAACCCGGGATGATTTCACGGGTTTTCAAGCCTGGTAAGCTCTATTCGCAGGACACGCTAAAGTCGGTGCTGCTGATGGTACAGTTGAGCGCGTCCCAAAACAGCGCTTCCAAAAACCAAATGTCCGAAAAATAAACACCAGAGCAATGTGAAAACAATAGTGGAATGACGAAGGGATCAACATTTGAATAAACTGCTCTGTGAATTCCAATAATTTTGACCGGTTTATTCATCGAAATAAGTAATTATCCGCAAAAAAAGTTTCGAGGTAAAATACTTGACCAACATGCAATGCTTTCCTCTGAGAAATCGCTTTTCTGAACAGATGCTATTTTGCAGTCAATACTCTGGACATTGATTTACAGTACTTGCATAAGTGCTGATTTGTACCTTTCTGTCTCCAGCGCTTGCTTTCGACTATTATAGGAAACGCTCAACTTTTCAATCGCGCCAAAAAAGGGCTTCATGCGACCCCATATTCTTCAGAGATCTATTTGAAAATACTGTAGACAGGTTTTTTATTTTACAAACGTTTCCAAAATCTTTTGTTGCTGACAGTAAGCGCGTGTGTCCGGAAAATGAAAAGAGTTGTGATTAATTTATATGTAAAAAATTGTCCATCCCAGACGTGAATTTTCAGTTTGAATTTAGTTAAACAAAACTTTTGGAATGGTTCCAAAATGCAAATCCTTTGAAATTCAGCAGTAATCTGCATCTTTTTCTGCGGAAGCTTTAATTTCGTTCAGCATTTTGAACTAAACTCAGAATGTCTTCAGCTGTTTGTTATTTTTTTGCGCATGGAAGTAGCTTGAGGATCTTGCAGATCTTCGGGCTGAGACTTTTTGAAATTTTGTGCATAATAGGGCATCTCCTACGAATTCCAGCCATTATCCGAACGTGGACCTGTCCATGGCGGGTACGAATGTCTGGCACCGCAACCAGCAGATCAGCACCAACTCACACACACACGGGAGCGATCCTCTGACTCCAATCAACACAAGTTCTCAGGTGATTAAAAAAAAAAAAAATTTCTATTCTTATAATGAATATTGGGGAAAATATTTCTACTGCGGTGCCTGGCTTGGCACTTCGATATTTTGGGGGCTGTGATAATTCCCACGAATTCGTAACCAGAAAGTTGCATGCAGTGGTAAATAGTTGTAAAATTCATGAGGCATTGTATAATCGTGATTTTTTTTTGTGTGATGAAAAAGTTTCAGTCGATGGCGTTCCAGGGAAATCAGCTCGGTCTAGGACTGAACCCAGAACGGGTTTCCATGGACTGGAACAGCCGTTCCCCGACTCTGAACCCATTCGGTCGCCAGAGCGGCCAGACGAAGCGACTCGGGCCGGATGGACTGCCCAAGGGTGGACCCTACATGGAATCCCTGGTCCTGCAAAACCTGGCCACAGAACAGAACCCGGGGATCCGGAAACGCAGTGGGTCCAAGTCCACGGCCCAGGATCAGATGGACCCACTTGCTTTGCCAGACGTCCATTCCAGAGAGTTCAAGCAATCCTGATGCACTGTCCCGCGACGGCGGCGTTCCAAGTTCTTGCCCTGAGAACACCCACGGCAACAACCACAAGTGATCTGCAACATTTTTACCCACGTGTAGCCCTGCATTTGCAACCCATTCCATTTGCTTTCCTTACTCTTCAACGTTGATCACGCACGTCTACTACGAAAGAATTGCTGTATGATCAGAAATTCCGCGAGGAACTTGCCTCTGCCACTTTTTAATAAATTTTAAACGTCGCCTCTGTAACCACGGAACCATAAAAAATATGATAAGACCAGACTGAACTAGCCTAAAATAGCAACATATTGATTAAAGGTTACAGCTTATATTAACTGAATTCAATACTGTATTGTAAATTAATTCCGATCGACGAGTTCAAGGAAAATATACACAAAACAGTCAAACCTCTTCAATTTGAACTCAGAGGGATCCACCAAATTTTAACTTAGTGCGTTTCAAAGTTAAGTTAAGGAAAACATTACAGTATTTTTTTAGTGGAAAATTAAGAATTAAACGAAAATAAAATTGGGAATATTCTGGGCCTTGAACTGCTGAATAAATGAATTGACAGGATTTCAAACTTGGAGGTAAGGTCACTAACTTCCCTTTTAAAGCATCGTTACATTTTTATCACTGTTTTCCTTTCTGTGTCCAGAAAGGAATACAGTGATATCAAAAAGGCCTATCCAAATTAGAGTCATACATGTTCGAACGAAAATGTCTTTGAGTTAAAAAGTTATATATTACATTTTATATTGGGAAATTCAAACATAAATACAATATACATGCAGATTTTTTTTACTGAGGGATGTTTGTTTAAGCAAGGTCGAACTGCATTTAATTTATTTCGTATTAGGTATGAGCTCTTGATAATCTCGACTAAAGTAGCCAGGAAACATTTTGAACAAAGATGCAAATTCCGAGCTTGGCGCCAATTTTTTTTAAAAACATCACTATATAGAGAAACATTTACCTGACTTGACAAAGGATGAATATTTGCTTGGAATTGTATGGTACTTAATGAAGTTCATACTATTTTACGGCATTATTACTAGCCTAACCACCCCGATTCTCCCCAAGTTTCTAACAGTCCTTATTAACTTAACATACCGAACAACCCATCATATCATCATCAACTGAAATACCTTCATTATATCCTAGCCTGTCCTAAAACTTTAATCAATCAAACCGAAACCATTTTGAATAAAATAATTCGATCTTCATACCTTAGAACAGGGGTGACAGAAAGGCACTTGAACGACAGGTTCAACAAGGACGAATTTTTAGGACGAAGTCAATGCTCCGGGTCCCGTATTATTCGTCGGAGCATCATTAGTATTTCCTTGTTCGTCTAACACAGTATTTCCTTTATTAGTGCGAAGGAATGATGGTTCGGAGGATGGTATAAAAATTAACTACGCTTATAACCGGTCCGGAGATGTATTCCTGGTTACAGTTATTAACAAAGAACGTTTCATCGTTTCATTTTAATATGCCGTGCGTGTTCGACTGTGAACTGGGGAAGCAAATGATGGGAGCTAAAAATAGTGCTACACCAAAGCAACCACCATTATGGCACTCAAGTACCAATGATCACTTCGCCGCACGTTGACGGGACACAAATTAATTGGAAGACCTGATAAATTAAATAAAATTGGGAATATTCTGGGCCTTGAACTGCTGAATAAATGAATTGACAGGATTTCAAACTTGGAGGTAAGGTCACTAACTTCCCTTTTAAAGCATCGTTACATTTTTATCACTGTTTTCCTTGCTGTGTCCAGAAAGGATTACAGTGATATCAAAAAAGCCTCTCCAAATGAGAGTCATGCATGTTCGAACGAGAATGTCTTCGAGTTAAAAAGTTATACATTACATTTTATATTAGGAAATTCAAACATAAATACAATACATGCAGATTTTTTTTACTGAGGGATATTTGTTTAAGCAAGGTCGAACTGCATTTAATTTATTTCGTATTAGGTATGAGCTCTTGATAGTCTTGACTAAAGTAGCCAGGAAACATTTTGAACTAAGATGCAAATTCCGAGCTTGGCGCAAATTTTCTTTTTTATAAACATCACTATGGAGAAAAATTTGCCTGACTCGACAGAGGATGAATATTATTTGGGGAATGTATGGTACTTAATGATATTAATACTATTTCACGGCATTATTACTAGCCTAACCACCCCGATTCTCCCCAAGTTTCTAACAGTCCTTATTAACTTAACAACCGAACAACCCATCATATCATCATCAACTGAAATACCTTCATTATATCCTAGCCTGTCCTAAAACTTCAATCAATCAAACCGAAACCATTTTGAATAAAATAATTCGATCTTCATGCCTTGGAACAGGGGTGACAGAAAGGCACTCGAACGACAGGTTCAACAAGGACGAATTTTTAGGACGAAGTCAATGCTCCGGGTCCCGTATTATTCGTCGGAGCATCATTAGTATTTCCTTGTTCGTCTAACACAGTATTTCCTTAATTAGTGCGAAGGAATGATGGTTCGGAGGATGGTATAAAAATTAACTACGCTTATAACCGGTCCGGAGATGCATTCTTGGTTACAGTTATTAACAAAGAACGTTTCATCGTTTCATTTTAATATGCCGTGCGTGTTCGACTGTGAACACCCCTTCGTTTACTACCCTCGATTTTTATCACGATGTGGTTTCGTTGGTGGTAATACCGTGAGTTCATGGTTACTAGTGAAGCGGCGTGCAACTGCCCTGTGTTTAATTAACCTTCTGGACTATTTAACAAAAAGATTGCTTTTTTTTTCTGAAACCGTAAAACCGAAGCGCTTGTGCAATAGCAAGATCCTTTTGATGGGAGCGATGCATCGTAACTGTATACGCAAATTATGGCAAGCAGATCCTGGAGCTGTTTTATTTGTAATTGGTTGTTTGATGAAAAAGTCAGTTCAGAAAATTGGGAATTGATTAAGCATGAAGCGAGTTCAAGTTCTGTCGACTTTTTGCGGGAGTAAATATCTTATCTTGGCTGAAAATATGGAAGAATTGCACTTGCGCCGCGGTTCTTAGGGTTTCAAAAAAATAAAAACGAAGAATATGTTCAAAGCATTGAAAAATGGAGCTACGGGCATTTTGGGATTCCAAATATCCTTTTACAAGTGCAGTTGAACGTGCTTTTTATATTTAAATCCCAGGAGATCATTGCAAGCGTCTGAATGATTTTTGAAACGGATTACAACATTTTCGCATCGTTTTTCTCTCAAGTCTGGGATGGTCGAGTTCAAGCAAGTGCCTTGACTTGTTTTGCAAAGAAACGTTTCTCAAACTCGCTTCTCGTCCGAATCACAACCCGTCCTCCCGCAATATTGACTATTTTTGCATTCAAAGAATACTCGGCTCAGACTTTACTCTCTGAAGGAGGATTCTCAAGCAGCCTTTTGGCAACAGGAACGGGCAGTTTTGGATACTCGACCAATTATTTCTCTGATAACCCATTCGTCCGGTCCTCGTGTTTTTTTGATTTCACCAGAGTTCTTCTATGTATGCCGTTTTCCAGCCAGCATTCAACTGAGTGATGTCGGGGGTATTAAGTGCAAATTATGTGGATATAATTAAAGCTTGTAAAATTTTCACATGTGCTTTCTTTTTTTTTTAGATGTCTGTCAAAAATCTTGAATCTTCCACCGCGCTTTTTTTTGTGAGAAGGAAATAATCTCATGATATTTCAGAACAAGGTTTTCTTCCCATCTGCGACTTCAGAATTTTGAAAATCAGAACCGCGAAATCCCCGGTGCGCCAAAAAGAAGCAGTTTTGCCAAAATGCAACAAGTCAACAATATAGTAATCACGTCTGCGGCACTGAAATTTATTCTTAAAGAAGGTAAAGGTATTTCAGCTTTGAAAGCCGTATTTTTCTTCAAGAATGTCCACACTTCCTGAATGGAAGCTAGAACTAAAAAAAATCGAATGAGAATACGCTACTCAAAATAATTCAGGATTGTAACCGAAAAATTCTTCAGAAAGGTAGAATGCGTGATTGCGGCAAGAAAAATCACGTTCCACACTTTGAGTGACAGATTCAAAAAAAAACGAACTGAAATTGCAATCACGACCGTCTGAAATCCCAAGAACAAATACTTCATCACTGAAGTAAAGTACTGTCATAATAAGTATAGCACTGGACCCGAAAGAAGTAATTGTGTGCACAGCCAGAGGCTAATGATTGCAGAAGCAAAACCTTCCGTTTTGCGGTAATCTCATGTGGAAAAAAAGTGCTGCGTCATTTTTTGACGTGATTTCGCGGACCTCTTGAGCTGGTGAATTGGTACATCCGACCATTTCCTTCATGAGAATCACGAAAAAAAAAATCAATTCTCTTTCCAGCTCTGTCTCGAAATACTTGAGTATCCCATTTTTTGGGTCGGCATTTTGTTTCTTTTTCAGTGCAACTTGTTCTTTATGGCCAGATACTGGCTGTGCAAACGTTGTCGGCAGAAGTTGTAGAATTCGATTTCGTTGGTCAAGTTCCGGCTCACAAGGTCTTGGATTTCTTGTGACACTGGGCGTTTGTACCAGTTCTTTTCCGCCCCCGGAAGTTCGTCACCTTGGTCTAAAAAAAAAAAAAAAAAAGTTCCACATCAATTTTCGAGCATTTATATTGCTCATCATATTATACAGCTAGGGCGAAAAAACAAACAATACAGTATCATATGCATTTTTCGAAAAGAATACCGCAAATTGAGTGTGTTTTTCACGAAGATTTTGCAAGAAATGCAAGGGGCTCACCTTGGTACAACGGAACTGCGCCACGGAAGAATCTTGGGACGTAGTGACTTAAAACAGTGAGAGTTTTGTTGAAATCCTCCAACACTCCGACGACAGCATAATGCTTTTCCACGTTTTTCTTCGCCATTTTCAGAGCATGTGGACTGTCAAATGGCCTGAAAAATACCGTTTCGGTTCAAATCTCGGGGTCATTCCGAAAATTCAAAGTATCAAATCAATACTTTTTATTCCCCGAGTTCGGTCATGAATGCGTATCGATTGGTCTTAATCCATTTTTATCCCAAAGTTCCACTTGAACGGCCAATTTTCAGGACGCACGTTTTACGAAGTGAAAGGGGAAATCGTGGTTAGATTCTCAAAGTGTATAATCATAAAAAAATGCTGAAATTTATGCAGGAGGCTAAATAATGCTGAGGACCACCTGAAAGAAATGCTTTCGTGTCCTTGGCATATTTCAGACCTAGACTATATTGAATTATTAAATTTTTGAAAGTGTGCACCTCATGGTGTTTACTCCATCCATAGACCATAGTTTCGGGTAGTGGGAGGGAGTTTTTTTTTTTTTAAAGATCGATACGACTTTTGTAGGAAAGCGTTCTAAAACTGCATGACGTACCAGCACTCGTGATCTTCATGCGAGCAGAAAAAGCGCATTTGTCTCCTGTGGTCAGTTCCGGCTTCCGCTGACTCAGGAATCCACTGGCACTCAGCATCTCCGGAGAAAACACAGCTTTCGAAATCCTTGAAAACCGATGCACAATTTTGATTAAAATGATTTCCGATGATTACACTGCTGTAAACGCCGAGGAATAGAAGAAAATGTAATGGTGGCATTAAATAAACAAAAAAACATGGAATCCAGGGTTTTCTTCGCATGGGCTCCTGATGACACACTTTACGGCAGCTGATTTTCTGAAGATTTCGCGGCTGTTCTGTCTCAGTGCGAGAAAGACTTCGTCTTTCCTTTCTCAGATAGAAATGCGAGCACCTGCCTTTCATTGTGCCACGTGACTCTGTCTTCCTTTCAATTCGAATTAGAAAATCTCGATTTTGGCTCGTTTGGGGTGTCCAAAAAGTCATGGTGCACTAAAAAAAAGTCCCTTGAAAGATCTTCCTACATGGTCCAACACAACGGCTCTTCCTTTTTTGTGGGTAGATGTCACTGGCAGCAGCCGTGATGTAATCGCTGCATTTCCTCATTTCCCACGCACCTTGCTCAGTTTTCAATGCCAAAAATCACAGGAGTTCAACAATGCCATGAGTAAGGATAAAACTTTCAGAAAAATTAGGAACGCATTTAATTACTTTCAATTTGTATTTGTTTTATTCTAATGGCTGGTGAAATGATTTCGCATTGAAACGTTTCCAGAAGTATTTTGACAGCTTCAGGTACGCACAAAAAATGACAGATTTTAAACTGCAAATCAACCCTTCAGAGCGCCCAAATCTTGAGTTTTCGAATGTCAATAAAAACGTCGACGATAAATATTTCTAAATTGTTGAAATTGACGTGCTGTAGACGCTTTCTCTGGATGCTCCGGTTCTGACAATAGTAATGTTGCTGACGCGAAGCACCAATTAAAATTCCTTAAAACCAGTTTCGGAGGCGCCGAGTTCAGGGAGGTGAGAACTGAGAACCCACCCGGGGACTTGTGGGTTTTGGGGCTCTTTCTCACCTTAACGACCCATTCGATGGTTGGCATGCCCAGCTCAGGCCTAGCCTTGTATCTGCCCACAGTCACCCAAGGTGCCCTCACAATGAAGAAAGACGACAGCAAACGCTCGAACGGATGACGAACAATGCTCACCATGATCGGGAATTTCTTTCCATACCTGAAATCCGAAAGAAATCCATCATTACCGAAAACAAAAGCTGACATTTTGAAAACTCACTTTTTGAAATCAACAAATGCTGTTCGCGTTCCGAAGGCAGCTGGGGCTTTCATACTGCTGACAGTATCCACAATTTCGCGCTGCAAAAATTTAAAAAAAAGTTTTTTTGCCCTGGTAATTTATTTCACGACAGATGTAATTTACCTCTGCATCCGCGTTGATGTATATTTTGTCATTAGAGATCGTGGGGTTTTCGCTTTTAAAGCGATATGGTTTGTCTTTGGAAAGTAGTTCTAGGAGCCCGAGGATCGGACCCGACCCAGATCGGGGTACGCCATTAAAAAACAACACGTCCTGGAGTTGAGCCTTCTTGGTGAAGTTCAAGTCTCCCTAGAAAAAATAGCATGAAACCTCGGGTTGAAAGCAACGCGATTTCCTTGGTGCGTGAAGAGTGACGACACACCTTGATCGGGATTTCCCATGGTTGAATGATTTGCTTTTTCTCCGAGCTTGCGGTGGATGTGGAATGACTGCTTCCGTGAGCTGGAAACCCGAAGAACCCGCGTTAGAAATAGTAGGTATAAAAAGTCAATTCTTTCAGTACAATGCTGAATGTGTGTATGATGTATTCTGAAAGAACAATATACAGGAAGTACTTGTGACTGACAAAGCATTGACACGATTTTCCCCTAAAAGCTGATATAGATTCCATATTTACTTGAATGCTAATACAGCTTTTTTCAGAAAGAAAAATATGCTTTCGAACCCCGGAGTGAACCCAATAAACGGGGTACTAAATCATAACTTTCAGGAGCCACACATTTCTCCATGAAATGGTCAAGCAAAATCAGGAAGCAGTCAAAAAACAGCATGGTGTCTTCATTTTGGATTTCTAAGGGCTGAATTCGAAAAATGAACATGAGAATAATCAACTCTTGGCCTCATCAAGAAGGGTTTCTTGCCTTCATTCGCACACCTCATCGCCAGGTTTTTTTTTTATTTTGGCAGTATAATCTACCAAGAAAAACAGGAAGCTTCTTGGAATCCACATGTTTAAAATATCAAAATTGCATATTGTGCTTGAGATACAGAGGCATTTATACTGGACTAGACCCAGGAGTTGGGCTAAGTTTTTTTTGTGGGACTCAAAAGAAAATCTTACATATTTTCTGTTCTGATAACAAGTCAAAGAGTATGGTGCCATCTACATGCTCAGGTTTTGTATAACGTTTTTTGGTACTTTCCTGTTATCTCAATACCTACTTTCCTGTTATTGCTGTACCTTCCCTCTGACCAATTTAACCTGACCTCAGCTAACTTCACCTAATCACCTCCCATAATCAGTTTCTGCTTTCTTCGGGTTTCTGCTGAAACTGATTTTGGGAGGCAGTTAGGTAAAGTTAGGTTAGGTCACGTTATGTTAGTTACAAATATCTTTTAACTAACATAACCTGACCTAACCTAACTTTACCTAACCACCTCCTAAAATCAGTTTCAGCAGAATGCAGAAAAATAAAATTCACAGTTTCTGGTAGGTTGTCATGATTATGAACTTGTCCTAACAATTTGTCTGGATGGTAGTTTGGTCTAGGAGTGACGTACTGAGATAACAGGAAAGTACCTGTTTTTCTTCTGACCAAATGCTGTTCAAGGTTTATAAAACCTCTGGGAGCTGAAAAAAAGGAAAACAACTCACCTTTGGAATCACTGCGAGCATCTTTGGCTGCACTGTCAGTCACAGCAACCGTGTAAGCGTAACTGTCCGGGTCAACCACACTGTTGATCCGTTCTCGCAGCTCGCTATACTTACTGTAGAGACACACAGAACCCACGATTGCGAGGCAAATCACCCAACTGCCGCTGCAGAGTCTGAGGATACCAAAATTACATCAAATTTTGCTTTAACCCAATGCATTAGCGAAGGATTCTTGTACATTCAAAAAAAATTAGTGAGCAGTCGAAGTTTTTGATTTCTTCATCTGTCAACTGTCAGATGCGAGCCAAATGGACATGCCCAATGAGCAAGAAGTTATTTTACCAAATCTTGCGAGAATTTTTGGACATTTCCAATATTGATAAGCAAAATTTGGCTGTTGTGCCCTCAAGTTCTCCTTAAATCTACCGGACTGGACTTGGACAGACAGGACATGTTTGAATACCTTGTTTCATTAAATTCATGCTTTGCAATTGGTTATGAGTATGCTACACAAAAAAGGTCCCATTATTTTGAAGAAATGTCACCACATCTCCAATACTGTATGTGTGCGCATACAGTGCAAATGCAGACCCAGGAGAAACCCAGAAACATTTGCAAATTGGCATGACTCGCAGAAATATTCATACTCTATTCTAACTGCTAGTGACACCTTTTCAAATTTAAACAGGTTGCCATCATATTAGACACAGAAGGAGAATCAACTGTAAAGATCCTAAATGTTCGCACTGCTCAATAACATTCCGGATGCCCTGCAGAATTGGAAAAAGTACCCAGTTTTCGTGCTCCACACATTGCGAAAGTGATTGTTTCGGCTTCCGGGTGGGGACATGCTCGCACGGGATCAGATGGGATGCATTCAAATTTCCCTCGAGGCTGACTAGGTCCGGGCACTTCAAATTTTCTGGCGCTTGAGAAAAGTTGAACATGAATATCAAGCACGAATCACGAGGCATCAATAGGCACACTCAGGTCCGAGGCCATCAATGTGGTAACAAACTAAATCACTGCAAGCTTTGAAAACAGTCGAAATTTCGTCTCTGTTTAAGTCATCTAAATACCGCACAGTAGAGTGTTTTAACATCACAGAGACACTGTATTTAAGAGTGACTTCTCGATTATCAAATTTCTTTAAAATTCCGGATCAGGAAATATATGTTCCTTCACAAGAGAAAAAAAAACGCGATTCGCAGGTGCAGCCGTTTAAAAAAAATTCCTTATGGTCTTTCACTCAAGAAGCAACGCGGGAATGTACGCACACCGAGGGAAGTAAGCAGGTCAAGCCGCCTCGGGGCATTTCACTGGTGTTAGGCGTCCGTCTGACCATGTTGCGAGCTGGCGCACTAGTGAATGGTGGCAGACCGCGTTTTCTGGGGCGCCGACCGGATGAAGAAAGTTGCCGCCTCAACATCATTCCCTCTCCGCCGCCGTTGGATGCCATGTGCGTGATGTTCTGTCCTCCCTGGGACAGCTGGGAGCGGCGTTTTCCATTAACGGTACGTGTATGCGACATCTAGGGTGATGTTTAGAAACTAAAACATGATGGCTTCGAAGACAACTACTCGTCGTCGTGCGTATCAAACCAGAAAAAAAGGAACCAGCCCGAACTTCTGGTAATTGTTTTTGTTTAGAGCAGTGTTCCCCAACCCGTGGTCCGCAGAAATTTTTGCTGCTCTGTGGGAAATTTTCTCCAGCCTAAAAAATTGATCAAAAGTAGGAATGAGGGACAATTACAGTATCTTTATCTGAAATTTTTGCAAGACAATTTCAGGTAAAATTATCTCATGAAGAATAAAAGTTGTCTTTTCTCTTAATAACACTTGACAAATTTTCATACGATGAAATAAATTATTTAATTTTTCATCCTGGGAAATTTTTGTTCAAGCCCACCTTTCTAATTTTTGAAGGCATTCCACTATACTTCCATTGGTTCTCAACTTTTTTTTTTTTTTTTGCAAAAAAGCAGACAATTTTTCAATACCTGCCATAAAGTATGTCAAAAGTACGGCAAAAGTTTTATGAGTGTGCAAAAATTTTTTAAAAACTTCGCCATTCCATGCGCAGAAGATTTTTTGAAAATTTGCCAGTCCACAAGAAAATGTATGGACATTTGCCGGTCTGCGGGCCCAAAAGGTTGGAGAACACTGGTTTAGAGTAGTAAAGTAATTCTTTTTCAAAGACAATCATGCAGTTTATGGATGCAGTGCATCTAACGCAATCAAGTAGAGCTACAGAAGACGCAAATAAATATTTAAATGCACCTCGATAAATTTTTCGAAAGAAATATCTGGTAACATAATCAAGAGAAAATATTAATGAACAGTAAATAACATCCTGATGATGCCCTTTCCTGGCAGAACCGGGTTCTTTCCAAACGCCGTACATTGAGGCCAATCAAATAAGTGCTAATTTTACGGAGACTCGGTTTCCAGGCCGCCGCAGCGGCACTTTTGTGGGTCTCAGCGAAACCCTTGAGTGGGTGTTGATTTGGGCAGATTGTGTTTAATCTTCGGGTCCGTATTTACTAGCACAAGGTCAGTCGGACTCGGTTTGATGTCACTGCTATCGTCATCAGGTCATAATGCGGGGGTGGGTACCCCGAAATTATGGATTATTTCTCGCCATTTGCACAATTGCATTTCATGTCCTCAACTTCATGTTTTCCTTCGTTGTAAGATAGGTGTCACTTATGTTTCAATAGTTTTTGGGGATACGTTTTATTAGATAAAAATTCTCGAACTTCTTGGCTTTCAGGTGGCCTCTTAAAGAATAATTATTGTCAATGACGTGCGTACTGGTTTTTCAGATTTATTTTAGCAGATGACCTTCATGAGTGGAGTAGAGTAGCCTACTACACCACATCAAGCTACAAACATAGAAAAAAATTTCTCATTTTTTCTCATGAGCTCCATTCATATTAAAACATGCCTCTTGATAAATCCACACATAGCTTGCATGTCATGCGAAAAAAATGTATTTTATGTTATTATAATTTTTAAGAGCTGTTGCATAGTCTTTCGTAAGTGCTGGCAAGATGATTAGACATATCTTCAAGTAGTAGAGCATCCGCAGTGCACCGAGTGTAAATCTTTTCTTTTCTTTTATTTACACAAGAAAAAACGAATGTCAGAAGTGGGATTCAAACCCACGCCTGCAGAACCAGACTGTGACCTGAATGCAGCACCTTAGACCGCTCGGCCATCCTGACAACTTAATGTAATGGATGTGTTTTCCCTTCTGAGAAACAAACAGGTGCAAAGTCAATAGGCCACAGACACACATTACACGACGTCCTTATTATTGCCCCCCAGACCCCTGTAGGATCCTACTGCTCGTTCCTCCCACTGCGGACATTAAACCTTACCTTGTACAGAACAGGGGTTGAGAACCCCTGAAATAATGCATATTGGATTGGATAATGCCTGGTTTTGACAGGTGATACAGGATACAGGCGACACCTGAATGATGCTTCAAGAATCAGGCCTCGAAGTTCGTTGAGCAGATTTCTTTCTTGTCTTCACACCACTTCTAACCCAGAACAGCTTTGAATAAAACCTCGGATTCGCAGATCAAACAATCGAAATACTGTATTTCTGCTCTATTAGCTTCGATTGTATGATTATTTGATCTTTGATTAGTGATCACCATCGTCTTCCGGAAGTCCAGGAAAATTAAGAAAAATTGAAATGTTCCAGGGAACCAGCTATACTTCGGCAGCGGCGACCGGAGCAGGGCAGTCAGAATATTATACTCCATTGCGTTCTCCTGACAGACAGACGTTGAGCAAATTTTCAGACAGGTTTGTTATTTGATCAAGAGCTCGACCTTCGCGGATTCTCCTTGATTCCCATCCCTTGTTTCACTTTTTTTTCAAATGATTTGCAGCTTTCGGGGTTTAGGCAAACTGAGCACCTGGAATGCATGCGCATTGAGGAAACATTCAAACAGCACTGACATATATATAATAGCTAAGGATTATATTGCAACTGACGTTGATGGGCAAACAATACTTTAAAAAATGTGTATTTTAATGACATGGCCTTGTAAAGCCAAACCATTCATTCCAGGATTTTACGGGAACGATAAAAATTAACCTATTACGAATTATTCTGAAAATTCCCTTTAAAAAAGGAAAATATTCAATTTTTGTGAGCGCTTCGTCTTTTTCCATTTACATGATTTTGAATGAAAGATGATGTGTCAAGCTTTATAAAAATGTGATGAATACAGAATAATATGGGCGACCTTGACACATAAAAATATAAAGACTGCAATAATCATTGCAGGACTTCAGCTGGATTGTATTAGCAAAACCTGTAAAAAGCGGAATAAAAACAAGTATCAGGAAAAATAAACTAGACACCCCAACTTCCTTGCAGAGTCATTCGGCATACAGGCCGCTAACCGAAGCAAAATTTCGTTGAGATTGCCCATCAACCGGGGGTTCATTCGTAGTCGGCTCCTTCGAACCAGATATTTCGAGGGACAGAGTTCGAGCATATAGTGTTCGCAGAGAGACGCACACCTGTGATCAAAAATGATGCTCGTCTGCGGGAAAATTATCTATTCAGAAAGTTGTCGCTGTCAGAGCTGACGAGGGTTGCCAATTATTATTTTTTTTTTTTCCTTTTCTTCGCACGAGACGCGGGCGTTCGATAACGGGGGAGTCTCTTTGCTCCTAAACAGAGCTCAACTGTGCGCGCGACAGTCGGGCCGTTCTGTTCGCGCACCGCGTTACTCTGCAAATTTTGCACGATATTCGGCAAATTGTCCACTGAATTCATGCGAAAGAAGGGCAAATTGTGTGTTCGGATCGAGAATAGTGTGTATGTGTGACTGTGAATACTTCGTACCCGAGACGCGAATTTTTTCTCCAGACCTTGACCAGAGAGTGCGCATCAAACGCGAACGCGCAAATGTGGATGAGCTTTTGTGTGGACATCTTCGTTGTCAACATCGTGAAGTAATCTGACACAGTGGCATAGAAAGGAAAGTGGAAGACGTGTGCTTGGATTGAAAATACCATTTTCGCATGCACACCCCCCCCAAATTGCAACAACAAAAAAGGAAAAAAGAAACGCGCGTCACGCCGACGTGCGAACTTGAATGTATTCTCATTGGTTTTTTTCTGCAGATTTTACAGGGGCGTGTGATTGTGGTACACGAGTAAATACAGTAATATATGCCTAACTGCTGCAGCAATTGTAGCCAATTTGTGAATAATATGGCATATAAACATTAAGAAAAGGAAATATTTGACGGCCCATAAAGTCACTAAATTCCAGCAGTACGAACCAAACTTTTCACACCTAAGTAGCTGAAGGCCAAAAAGAAAAAATTTCATTTCCACGGACTTCAATTGTTGATGCGGCAGAATTATGTCAAAGAAATGGATCTTTGATTCGAAATTATGGATTAAGATCCACGTCTGTGTCATCTTTTCAAGCTGTTCATCAGTTTCAGAGACGCCGCGAACTGCATAAAATCTGATGAAATAATTCCCGAATTCTTTAAAAATATTTGCAAAGCTTTATGCACTATATTTCAGAAATACTTGAGTCGAAAAAAGAAGTACGATTCACTTGAACGCTGGACAAGCGCAACTTTGTACTACAAAATCCTTGATCAATATGTGCAAACTGTAAAAGAGTGGTACGGAGAGATAACTACCTTAGAAAGTAACTAAATAGTCGCGCTTTTTTACGCATGATTACCCTAAACCCACCTTTTGCCTAACGATGCAAAAAACTTATGGATATTAAAAATTCGATGTTCACAATTACGTCAAGCATTTAATCATGGAAAGTAAATCCTGCTTACTCTGATTAACAGAAGGCTCTCATTTTTTTATTTGGTTGAAGAAAATTTTTGTGGTGTATAGTAACCTTATTTTTCTTTTAGTGGCGTAAAATTGCTGCTGGATTATTTCGAAAAGTGAAGCCGCATTAAAAACCAAGGATGCATGAGAACTTGAGAAGCAGAAGATAAATTGCGAGTCCCTTTCAACTGTGTTAATTTAAAAAGCTTTTGAAATTCCCATTTGAATATACTTGGCAGTTTTAAATGAATAAAAATGCTGCCATGCAAGGATAATTGGTTTTTCTTCGCCTCAGCTCTCTTTCTTGCTTCAATGTTAACCGTTATAGTGGATGATCGTCGCCAGCAATAATCGGGGATTGATTTTCGTGGGTACTTCGCACTTCAAGGATTCATTTTCCCAAAGAAAATTAGATGAAATGTTACAATCATTCTCCCGCGGAATCGTATTTCGTTCGCCTTTACTGAAGTCATGACGTTTTCCTTCTGTTGACAGAAAACCGACGCGATCTTCCGATCGAGTCCCGCTGTTCGACTTTCAAGTTTTCAAATTAACGGTGTCGATTGTGGATGGCGTAATCAACACAGTGTGATGGTGTCGAGCGAGTGTCGATTTCTCGAAATGCGCCTTGATAAGCGGTGTGACATGATAATCGTCAAACATGCGGTTCAGTCCAACGGTTTCCGCGCTCGGCT